TGATCAAAGGGCTGGAGCACCTCTGACACGAGAACAGGCTGAGAGATTTGGGCTTATTCAGTCTGGAGAGAAGAAGGGTCCAGGGAGACCTTATAGCACCCTCCAATACCTCAAGGGGCTGCAAGAAAGCTGGGGGGGGACTTTTATCAAGGGCCTGTAACAACCGGACTAAATTGAAAGTGGGAAGGTTTAGATTTAGATACCAGGAAGAAATTCTTCACAGAGAGGGTGGTGAGGCACTGGAACAGGTTGCCCAGAGAAGCTGTGGATGCCCCATCCCTGGAAGTGTTCAAGGTCAGGCTGGATGAGGCTTTGAGCAACCTGGTCTAGTGGAAGATGTCCCTGCCCATGGCAGAGGGGTTGGAACTAGATGGTCTTTAAGGTCCCTTCCAACCTAAACAACGCTTTGATTCTATGAACATGTTGTCAGCAACACCAAAAGACCAGAGGCCGCCTCCTCATCACAGAAATAGGAACAATTTTGACATGGATCAGATGGCGGCATTTATATAGCTGTAGTTAGCTCAAAATTTTAGTCAAAGGAGTTACTGGATTGAGCGGCTCAAAAAGCAGTGACTGTATTAACTAGCAACTATTTGCGCCTACCCTACAAGTAGAGAAACTTCTAGAATTACAGCCTTCATGTATATTTGCAGAAACCTTTTCTTCCACAGCTTAATTCTTAACCGTACAGGTCAAGACTAATAAGAGCTCGTACAGCCACAGTGCCAGGGTGCAAGTCAAGCAAGCTGTCCAAATTTAGTTTCGGAAATACTGAGCCCTCTGAACATGCTCAACCAAGGTAAGGGACACTGTTACAGTCAAAATGGTTTCAGAGGTGTTACTCTGGAACTGTATTGCTAAACACATTTTTATATTATGACAAACTTCCAAAAGACGAGAATTCCAGTTCATTTCCAGACTTACCTTTTTGTCGTTCTTAACTGGTGCAAAGATGCTGTCTGTTTGAAAACCAAAAGTGATTTCTTCCAACCAAACAGGAACTTCCTGCTGGGCCTACATAATTACAAAAGTAAATTTAGAGACTTCAGCTGCTATACCAGTTTGTATTAAGAGTTTTATAACTCCATCAAAGAAACAACAGCTGCTCATTTAAAGTGAAGTACTATACAACAGAAGTTAAGCACTATGATCTGAGACTTACATCTGAAAGCACTTTAACTAGAGGTCTTGCCAGACGGCCATCTGTACGGTTATCAAAAAAGCTAACTGCTTTGCCTGTGTTTCCACAACGACCAGTTCGTCCAATTCGGTGTACATACTCTTCAATGGTGGAAGGAAGATCAAAATTAATAACATGCTGAACCTTTTCAATATCCAGACCTCTTGCTGCCACTGTAGTTGCCACAAGAACTGGACATCCTCCACAACGAAAATCCTGAAGAGCTCTTTCTCTCTCTCTCTGTTCTCTGTCTCTACAAAGAAAGAAACAGTTGGACTGGAAGTCACAAAAAATATGCAGTGTTATTTAAGATACAAGTTAGAAGGTCATGATTTATGAACAAAAGTGTTCTAAAGGAAAAAAAGCAAACAACAACAACAAAAAAAAACCCGCACAGAAAAAAACCACCACAAACAACAACTCACACACTATCAGTTTAGGTTTCCTGAACTTCTAATTGATTATCAGTAAGACACATATTTTAACTTAAGTCTCTAGAGAAATTAATTTTTTAAAAGAACCAGAGACAGTCACATATCAAACTCACTGCCTCCCTAGGAAGATCCACTCATTTAACTGATTGTTTGTTCACGCCTTAGTTAAATGTGCTTTTCCTACTACTGTGCAGCAGGGAGCCTGAATTGCAAAGATGAAGCTTACCTGGACTCCTGCATAGGCCATTTTTCAGATATACTAGAAAGTGTGGCCAGCCAACAGTACAGAACTTTTGCCTTTTGTTTATCATCATGAGAAGCAAACTACGCTTGCTCTGGGGTTAACATTTTTAAAGAATATTTACAGATCATCCAGAACTTAAATACAGTAGATCAGATTGTTCTTCGTTGTCCAAATGAGAGGCCAAATTAGAAAGCTAAAAAACAGTGCTCTTTTGAATCAATATGGGACATTTAGTGAAGTGTGGTATAATCACTATTCCAGAGAAGAGCAACTATGCAAGCTAGCTTCAGTACAAAAACCTCAAGAGAATCAGAAGTTAGTTAACATTCATGACAGTTTAGCAGCTTTTATGGAACCTGTTAATTCTTTTGGTAACTATACCTTACTTCACAGTGTAATAATTCTACAGAAGCGTGTTAACAACCTCCTCACACACAAGACAGGCTGTGGGATAGCAATTCAGGTTAGCCATGACCAGAAGGACAGATCTTCGCAAAATGACCCTTCACACATTTGTAAAACTGGTAGGGTACAGGATACACACAAATATCTTGTATTGGTGTACTGAGATCATTTTAATCCATCTACAATCTTGATATTCTGATGTCTGTCAGAACACTGCCCAAAACATCATTGTGCCAGCAAGAATTCAAGACCCTTCCTCCTATTACAAGATGAAGAATATTGCAGAATTACAGTTTTGATATGCTACACTTCACTGGGAATCTTAAGATTCAGTTTGTTGTCCTACATTTTCATGCAACAAACACCACAGAACCACCACATTCCAGCTGATTAAAGGCAGACCATCTTTTTAGATGGGTTTAGACCTGGAACTAGCAACTATTTCACCTTGTTCCTCAGCTTGTGTTCAGTCATACAACCCACGAGTAGACTAGAAACACACGCTAAAAGCATCCTCCCTTTAGACTGATCTCCATATAAATGCTGTCTATGAATACACCAAGGAGGCAGAAATGACCGCATCAGAAATCAATTTTGTACCATACTGATTTACTGCATCACTTTGAGGAAGCCAGTAAGAGAGTGGAAGGTCCATGACTACTACTTGAATTTATGAATATCCTCTCACCAGTAACATCGAAAGGTCTGGTTTTGGTCACAGAAATGATGACAAAAACATATAAACAACAACTGATTCTACTGAATTTATTATATACTAATTCATTTTTTAAGCAGTAGGCGTAAGATGCTCCAGTTCATGTACAGCATTTGAAGTGTGGTCAACCAGAAACATACAAACTCAGCAAATGCTGTGAGAACTGGCCTTCAAAAACATCACCTTTTCAATGGGATGGAGCTGCTGAGGATTTCGGGGCTACTGAAACAATGCAGGCTAAGTCACACAGATCTGGCCAAACATGAAACGCCAATAAAAGCTTCTCATAAGATGCAGTATTAAGTGCTTGACTTAACACTATCCCCTGACTTTCACTTTAAAAAAAAAAAAAACCCACACAAAACCAAAAACAAACCAACACAAACTTACCCATGGATGCTAGTGGATGGTATTTTTTCTTGACAAAAAAAAAAGCTGCCATGAAGTCTGCTTTTTTCTTCGTGTCCACAAACACTATGGTTCGCTCATGACCTATGTTAAACAAGAGTTCAGATGCACTGCAGTTAGAAAACTGATGCATTTTCACTATTCACAGTTGCAGTTAACTATATAAGCACCTGATGGCAGAATGCATTTTCAATAAAGTCTTTATGGTATGATTGTAATTTCTTGCCTGTGTTGAATTAATTAAATCCAATCCATAAACTTCTAGATCAACACAGAAGCCTAGGTGAAGACAAGTGCAATGTAGTTTTCTCCTCAATTAAAGGAGGAAACAAATGTTGTGTGGTAAGTTTGCACTCCCTTCCTACAGCACGCAGCTACAAGTGGCATGCCATTCTGAGCACTGAACAGCAAGGTATACAGACCATTTTCATTTCTGAACTCCCTTCCAGGTTTCAGCATTAAAACTTAAGATACATTCAGAGCAAAAATGGAAAAATCCCAGCCGTTAACAAAACACAGGCCCAAAAATTAACATAAGTTTAATACACATATAATCTGGAGATAATATCCTCAGATGGCGAAGTAAAGTAAGTAATCATATCAAGAAACTAACCCTCTGGGAAGCCTCTCTGCTAGTACTCAATAAAGATGAACGTTGACAATTACCCATAACAAATACACCTAAAATTCTAGAAATCCCAGAGGTGTATTTCAAGCCTCAATCAGTAGTCTTGTAAATCATGTAACACACAGAATGGAATCATGACCTGCTCAATAGCAGGGGCACAAGTTTAAAAACAAGCAATTTTGTCTTCCCTGGAAAACAATTAGCATTAAGGAAAGTTACCTATGCTTTGTAGAATTTCTATCAGTTTATCCCTCTTGGAATACTGAGAAACCTGAAGAATAGTTTGCTGAACATCACTGCAAGCTCCACCCACGTGTCCAACAACAACAAATAAATAATCAGTTTTCAAAAACTCAGCAGCCAGCCTTGAAAACAAACAAAATTGAGGAAGATGAAGTTTATTATGTATCTTGCAGTGATCACTGTAATTACTTTCAGTGAATTATGTTGGTACTTCTACGAGTCAAATCCTGACAACTTTCTTCTGGCCTTGAAAAGCCTGAAAGATCTTTTCTGGGGCAGGGGGAAAAACATCTTCAGCACTTACATATATATCTTCAGATATATTTCCATTTTTATTTTACTCACCTCTGAACTTCTTCAGGAAAAGTGGCACTAAACATCAGTGTTTGACGTTTGTCTTTTGGTGGCATGCTTGGGTAAGAAACCAGCTTCTTCATATCTAATCCAAAACCCATATCAAGCATGCGATCTGCTTCATCTAGCACCAAGTATTTTACACTTTGCAATCCGATCTGCAAGTATTTCAGTGAAAGAGAAACTGTATTCATTCACTGACAGTATACATTCACAGAATTTCCTAATTGCCAAAATCCGCCTTTCACTTATTTCTAGAAGTTCACAAATAAAAACCTATGTGCGTTAAGTTTTGTTTGCATCTCAACCTCTATTTAACTTTTTAATCTGGACTAATTCTAGAGTACACATAACAATGAAGTGCTTCAGAACTTGGTTCAGCAATGTAAACCAGGACAGAACCTACAGATCAACTATTATTCAGCCCATTATTTTGAAATTATGTTTGCATTTTAGAACAGTTCTCTCATATAACTCTCACACATTCTCAAATGAATTCTTATTCTGAAAAAAACATATGTAAGGAAGCATTATGAAGGACATCACAACGTCACTGTTGCTGAACGAGGCTGTCATTTTGACAACAAGCATGACAACCGCAGAGAGGCAATCTCCAGTTTATCACCAAAAAGTGTTTTTTCCAAACTTCATTTGTCCAGTGCAACATCACTGAGTCACCATTATAATATAGAGTAATTTTGGGTTGAATTTTAAAAGGCTAGGAAAAAACATCAACATTCAAATACAGTATTACTCCTGTAGGGTTTTTATTTTTAAAAAAAAAAATCACTATTAAAACATTTTAAAAAAATAATATTAGCATGGTTCCAGGTGGATAAAAGCTTTTGTAGCAAAGCAAATAGGACATCAAGTGAAAATCTATGGAATTTTCCACGAAAACTAAGAGAAGGTGTCCCGTGTACTTATCCTATAAAATTTAATTACTAAGAACACTGCAGCTGGTTTGATTTAGACTGTTACCTTCCAGTGAGTCCTGAAAGGGACTGGAGAGATCTGGACTCACACTACCCTTTCAAAAACCTCAGGGCATTTGGATATTCCAAGAAAAGCTCACTTGTATTTTAAGTAAGTGCCTGTATAAAGGCAGCATACTGACTGGTTTTCATATCTATCTTTGCTTTTACTGAATTTGAAGAATGAAAACCAATACATAAAAAGCTGAGAATGCTCAGTGAACTCAGATTAAGTTTTAAGATCTTACCTTCTCTTTTCCAATAATGTCCAGAAGCCTTCCTGGAGTGGCACAGAGTATATTACAGCCTCGCATTACCTGGCGAATTGAATATCCTGTCTGTGTACCTCCATAGATCACAACAGGCCTTATACAAGTTCTATGACACAGAGAATAATTTGGATTAATTATGTAAGTATGCAAACAGTATAGTTTCTTTCACGAAAATGTTAAAAATAATCAGATCTACCATAAACAGCTTAGAGACGTTCCTTCACCATAAAGCACAGCTTACAACCAAAAGCAGGACGCCAGACCAGAAACTCCTTCACTGTAAGCATGAAGTTCCTACTGACCTTACAGAAGCTGCACATGTGGCTTACTTGGAAAAAATACTTCATTTTACCTGCATTCTTCCCTTGCCATTCAACTGAGAGTCAATGGCAGTAATTGTGTTAGACATTGTCTCCTTTTACGCAGCATACTTCGAAAAAGTAGAAACAGCAAATATATGCCTTTAGAGATCCAGAAGTAATCTCCCCACACCTTGGAAAGACAGTTCAAAAAAAGAACCAAACACAGGGAGAACTTTGTAATGCAACTAATCATGCTGGCCAAACAGCAGCCACTCAAGCATTAGACTGCAAATCCATTCCAACACTAAGGTACTTAGTGCACTTCCTACTACAGTTGTTGGCAAGATACACTGAGTAGACAGCTACGTCAGATACTGTCCTGTAGAAAACCACCTCTATCAGCAGTAACTACCATACACAGCTGAAGAGCAAGTTTACAAGCTTATCTTTATAAACTCATGTTAAGGCTTTTACATGCATACAATGAGTATTATCATACTCGAATTATCTATTCTTGAAGATGCATATGAAGCTGAACTTGTAGCAACAGTGAATCAGATCAACCCAGTAAATTTTTTTACCAGGTTTAATTGGAACTTTTCTGAAAGCTTTAGTCAAGAACAGAAACAGACTGGACTCCTAACATTTCAACATTTATCCAGTATCAATTAATATACATATTTCATATTCCTATTTGTGAACTAAACTCAAGAGCTTAAGAATATCATGAAACTCAACTGAGCAGTACACATGCAATTCTTTAGAGGTAACAGATTCACACCTGTTATTGTTTAAATACCCCATAAATGCATGTTTATCTTGCTTTAACTGGAGGGCAGCTGCAGCAGAAACTTTCTAAATTCTACTTCATTGTAAAATAATCTGTATCTAGTTTAAAACAGCATAATTAATAGAACTAGCTACAGTTTTAGAGATTAAGCAGCTATTCTTAGTAACATGCTTAGTAAGTAGATATGCAAACATCATGGTACTTCCCAGAAGCAGACAGCCTCCAAGCATAAGCTTGCTTGAACAAGGAAAGGCAAGTCTAATTTAGCCCATTAGATCTTATACTGAAGACATTCTCTACTCCACTTCTTAACAGTTATAAGCAGTTACAGACGACAGATTTAATGCTCTTCCTTTGCACTAGTGAAACTTAGCACTTAGCAGCAGAAAGACCACTGGAAAACTAGTACAAATGCACTCTCACACAACATCAAAGGGCTCAATGACAAGTTTAGACTTTTCATTCTGCTTTGAAGCAGCAGAGCTGAAAGAGTTTGCCTGACCTGTGAAATTTCTGTCCAAGATTAGAAACACTGCTAAGTACAGTGGTACTAGAAACACCACTGAAAGTTAACTATAATTCCCAACACATACCTCTTTTTCTCAAAACAGAAGTAAAAGCGAGTACCAACTACGTAAGGCAAGCTAAATTTAGGCTACTTCACGTAAGAAATGTCATGTTTCCTCATCAGTAAACATGATGTTGCACAAGTTTAGTACTTATCTCCTCTTCAAGGCGGAGTAAGCATCTCCCCTGTCTCCCATAATACCAGGTAGATTAGGAGTTTAAACCCTCAGCCATGCAGTAGGAAACCTGCTAGCCAGTACTACTATCTAAATTCAACTGTTTCTAGTCATCCGATGGGCACAGAAAAAAATACGAAACTATTAATGAAGAAAATAAAGCACTGCAGAGTCAGACAAAGCAGCAATCGGTACAAGACAACAGTGCAAAAGCTTACCCATACACAAATTTCCTTGCTTCCAGGAAGATTTGATTTATCAGTTCTCTAGTTGGGCCAACAATAATACACTGTGGTTCTTGCTGCTCTTTAAAGCTACTGGCAGTTACGCCATCTCTCATCATTTGGGCCACAACTGGTACAAGAAAAGCTGCCTGAAAAAAAGCATTAGTATTACACTCTTCAGTCTTAAAGCTTTCAATAGTCATACTAAAAGTTATGTATCAATCTTAAAGCTAGAATGACACAGCACACTATCAACTTCAAGGAAATCAGACTGCAAAAGGATTGACCTGAATGCACTACAGAATATTTAAGCTTTTCTCCCTTTTTAAGCAGCATAAAAATCTCTCTATCTGAAGAGCCTAATAATGCAGGAACAGAGTAATGCACTAGCTAACTCCTGAGTTCTCCAGGAAGCTCCACATATCTTCCTGACGTACGCTGATAATTATGTACCCTATGATCAAAACCCTCCATAACATTCAAGGAATCATAGAATCATTGAATGGTTTGGGTTGGAAGGGACCTTAAAGCCCATCTAGTCCCACCCCCCCTGCCATGGGCAGGGACACCTTCCACTAGACCAGGTTGCTCAAAGCCTCATCCAGCCTGACCTTGAACACTTCCAGGGATGGGGCATCCACAGCTTCTCTGGGCAACCTGTTCCATTCACGTATCACCATTACAGTACAATGGTGACATGTACAATATACAGTACAATACTACTGCAATAGCAAATGAGTTTGCTACACTGCTGCACCAGCAGTCTTACTTCCACGTAAGCCTAGTTACCCCCAGAACAGAGTTACGTACAGCAGTCCCAAAACTTTCACAGTATTTATAGCATAAGCTTTGGACATTTCCCCCTTTGCAAACAGAAGAGCTCTTTTCAAAACAAGTAACTAATAAGCTACATTACAAAGCTAAAATTCCACACTATACTGAATGGTAAAAAGCTGTACCTGGTAGCCAAATACGCCCATACACAGCTGTCAGTGGTCAGATTTGGGTACATGAGACAGTTTAACAATACAACTGCCAATATTAACTCTCAGCACTCTTCCACGATTAATACCCAATCACCTAAAACTAAGCCCAGTGCAGATCAGACTTGATCAAACCAAGGACGACAAAGCAGTACAAAACACCTAACATCTTGCATACATTTAAAAAAAAACAACACACACAAAACACACATACCAACACCTAAACAAACAAAACCATCCACAACAAACTCACACAACACAGAAAGAAACACTACTGATTCTTTTTCCCACCAGCAGTTTCTACAGCTGCCTATACCTCTGAATCTGTATCTGTAGCCCTGAAGACTGGCCTGCTCTATCAAAATATTAGTCCACTGAAATCCAGAAGAAATTCAGCCTGAAACTGGGACAACCCATCCATCATTCAGATCTGTGATTGACGCTACATCTGCCATGGCAGTGCAAGTCAAATCATTAGACAAGCTGTGAAGCATCTAGTGTACCTTTAATTAGGACGACTGAGGCATCTACATAGAAGTTCCAAGATCACACACTTCCACTAATATGAATACTACACAAAATGCTTACAGTTTTTCCTGATCCTGTCTGGGCACATGCCATTAAATCCCGTCCCGCCATTATAATTGGAATGCTGTACTTCTGCACTGGAGTAAGTTTAGAGTATCCAGCTTTAGCAATGTTCCTATTTAAAGGCTCACAGAGGTTAGCTTCTTCAAAACCCTGTACGAGAAAGAATTAACAGTACACAACCACAGAAGTTAAAGTTTAAAAACTGAGATGCTTACCGTAGGACACAGACATCCAAACACTAAAAAGTATTAACTTTTGATGGGGTCTCACCAGTGATCTAGATTGCCAAGGTTTCTACAGGTAAAAGCCCCAAAGGCTTCAACCTGCACATGCCATTCCAGTAAAGCTGTTTGTAGGACAACGAAGGCTTTCAAGCTCTACTTTTAAGAGAAAACTGATCAGAAGCTGTGTATCTGGATTCCAGCACATAAACTCACATCATGGCATGTGATGAAAACACACTGTAACTCTTCAGTTTCATTTCACATAGGAGTCTCTGAGCACACTTCTATTAAGAGGAGCTTTAGCTTCTCTAGGATGTTTTAACATCCCTATCTGGACCAAAATGTACCACACAAAACAAAACCAGTTTAACTTCAGTAAGAAAACCTTTCAGAAGACGGACGGGAAAAAAAAAACCCCTGCATATTCTCTTTCAATACAGGTGCTACTACCCCCTCTGCCCTTCTTCCTCATTCTTCTTCCTAAGCTTTTTCTTTTTTTTTTTTTTTAATACTAGTCATTTGCTATGCAGTAGAAGCAAAGTTATATACTACTTTTAAACAACTACCTGCAGCCACAGAAAACAAAGCTAGAAATTATTTCAAGAACATCAGTCTGCCCCCATGAAAACTATTCCAACAGGTGTTCGTTTGCTTTTTTAAAGATCACCCAGTAAGAGACTTCAACACCAGTCTTCCCAGAAACCACTCCCAGAGACCTCTTTCAAGATCTAAACGTGTTTTTTTCTAAAATTTATGGACTACGTTTCCTGTCCCTTTGGTATTACTTTCTCTGGGCCATTTCTGTACTTTGTCAATGGAATTTTGAATTCAAATGTGTACCTTTCAAATGGGAAGCATCCTTTCCAACACAGTATCGACTGCAAGATTGAAACTATTTATTATTTTTTATCAGCAGTGAATATTAGACTCAGTATACATCCTTGCAGGATCAAGCTCAACATAAACCCCAAGACTATTGAGTTCACTAACCAGTAATGGTGCTGGAGGGTCAAGTCCTGACACATCGACGACGACTTCATCGTACTTGTCAAAATTAGTTCCTGTCTGATAACGTGCAAAGATGGCTTGTTCATCATCAGGGGGAGGAGGGGGCACATAAGTCACCTTTGGACCTTAAGAACACAACCACTCAAATTCAAGAACAATATAAAAAACCCAAACTAAACATATTTGAAGTATGGAGCTACTGAAGTTCAGTAGGATGTCATTTAAGCTTCCCTCCACTTTCCAGGAAGGCAAGCAATTTCATAAATGAATTCTATTAGATCTTAGTTTTTTACTACCAAACCTAAAACTCACAATTAAAGTCAGACTTTTCTAAAGCATTCTGGCCTCACATTTGCTCAAGGATATTACTTTGAAGAGCTGCTCTCAAAAATGAAATACGGCTCTACTTTACCAACATGCAAAACCCCATTCTACCACAAAAAAATATTCACCCTATAAATTACCCTATTAAATAACAATGCATTTATTAATACACAAGAAGCTTAGCAGGACCTTGCAGTAGCAATATGAAGAAATTAAACCCAGCATCTTGCTGAGGGACCTCAGAAACCAGACCTGGTCTTTATTTGACTTGCAGTAAGTCCCCTATCATCAAATCAAATGCAATCATCCCAGATTATGAGATGGCCATCACAAGATGCCTAGAGAAGATAAAGCAACTTGCATTTGAAAGCAACCAAGAGTAATGATCCCTCCTAAATGCAGTATATTCTTTGGAAGGGCACATTTACACTTGAGATGAATCATGAATCATGAGCAAATAGGCATCTATGACAAAAAATTAAAATGCCACCAAAATTTCAGTTTTATAACACTGTCTCATTACCTCCGAAGTGAGGTTTTTCCCCATAAAACTGATAAACAAAATACTGGGAGTAAGAAGAAATTCACACATGTTTACAGTTACAGCATCTTGGTTCTAACAACCATTCAACCTTCCCACAGAATCAGGAGATGATAGTTTTATTATAACTGGCTTTTAAATAGCTAAAAAGCCATAGCCATAAACTTCACTGTCATTCAGGGGAGAATTTAAATCAGAAGAGAAAAATATCCTGTTATTTCAACAGCCACACATTCATAACTTCCTGTCCATGAACATTCTGACCTTGGCATCCACATATTTTGTGTTGCTTTCGTTATCACTTGAAAAACCCAGACACTTTTTCTTAAGAGTGAGGAAGCACCACGTTTCACATATCAAAAATCTGTATTAAGACTGAGCTATTAATAACAGCATTTCCAGAATTTATTTTAGGTTCTTACTTTTACTATAGAAAAAGCATTAAACGTAACTGGGAACCTCTACATACACTGTGCATAAGTTGTGTTGCTCATTTCAAAGAAGGGTTTTTAAAAAGCCTTTAACATTAAAGCGTCCCTGGGGGAAAAAAAAAAGGAAGCTAGAAATGTAGATAAGGAACCTAACACTGGGTGAAAAAGACAGACAACAACCAACGCTGTTAATAGGTTCTCTACTTAGACGTGCACATCAAGCATAAAAATCATTCCATGAGACTGACAAATTTAAAGACTGGCACCACAGAAGTACAGTGACCCTAAAAGGCCTCCTTCACCCTCCCTCAGCTGCATTTTTCCTCAGTGCAGCAGTGCAACCACAAAGAATAGCACCAGGGCAGCATATCAATCTCATTGCTCATTCTTAACAAGATCTAATAATTGACTCTAAACATTAATACCAGATCTAAAGAGGCAGCCAGCACTGGGACTTGGATCTGGAATGATGTTCACTAGCAATACTCTTAAGTAACTCTGCAAAACCACAACTTCGAGATGGTGACACAGAATCCCAGCAAAGATGCAATCACTTTTAAGTACCTATTTTGCTACAGTATTATAGAAGGTTTGGGTTGGAAGGGACCTTAAAGACCATCTAGTTCCAACCCCCCTGCCATGGGCAGGGACACCTTCCACTAGACCAGGTTGCTCAAAGCCTCATCCAGCCTGACCTTGAACACTTCCAGGGATGGGGCATCCACAGCTTCTCTGGGAAACCTCTTCCAGTGCCTCACCACCCTCTCCGTGAAGAATTTCTTCCTTACACCTGATCTAAACCTTCCTGCTTTCAATTTAAACCCGTTACCCCTTGTCCTGTCACTATAGGTCTGTGGAAAAAATCCCTCCCTCCAGCTTTCTTGTCAGCCCCTTCAGGTACTGGAAGGCTCCAGTAAGGTCCCCCCAAGACCTTCTCTTCTCCAGGCTGAACAGGCCCAACTCTCTCAACCTGTCCCCATAGCAGAGGTGCTCCAGCCCCCTGAGCATCTT